GCTTACCTGTCTAATATCAATCTGTCAGGAGATAGTGACAGAGTGAACAAATATGCTAAAAATATACTTTTTAGAAAAGTTACATACTGCACCTTTAAGTAGAACATCAAGTATCTATCAGGTCCTGACCCTCCAAACTAAAACCCATCTGACCTCACTGCTGCTGTCAGGAAGTTGGTGCCCAGTAAAGGGTTCTGGTCAGCTGGTACTGATATTGATCCTTTTTTCTTTTTAGGATGATGAACACATAGTGTTGGAACCAGGAGATTTATTCCCCCCTTTTTCTCCTCCGCCTTCCCCTCGTGCCAAAGACAGAGTGCCTGAGAGCCCCCACCAACACCGCCTCTTCAGAGTGGTCCGGACTCCAGTTCTGGACCTGGTCCAGTAAGGAATCTTAAAGCCAGTCTAATATTTTATACAAAATGTTGTATTTATATTAATGTATTAGGTTGTTCCATACAGACTGAAGTAGTGATGTTTTGAACAGAAACAGTTTGGAGCAGGCGCTGTCCCGGCCCGTCACGGTGCTGGATAATGAGAGGTTTACTGTACAGTCCATCATCACTAAACTCATCTGTCCTGTTGTTCTGGTGAGCTGTTCTCTCTGTTTGTACATGGTGTTTATACTGGTGTAGTCTCACTTATTTAGGACACACTGAATCTACAACACTCCACGCTACTCCAGACATTTGTTGAATTGATAAAGATGTGAAGCAAGAAAAAAAAATCAAGAGTAGAAGTCCAGTTGTTTTGTTTTTGAACTTATTTTTTACATGGCATTTAGAATAAAAAATATAATGTGTATCATTTTCATGTTTGATTCTAATTGCTTTTTCTTCTTCCACCTTGCAGGTGACGTTCCTGCTCGTTAACACTATTCGCTTTTTTTGTGAAGCTCCAAGCCTCACACCAGTCAGCTACAATTTCCTTCAACTTCAGGTACATTTCATCCATTAATGAGCATGTGAAATGTTTTCTACGGCGCCCGTCCGGTGACATGGAATAAAAAAATTTTTTCACGTGGCCATGAGATAAGAACGCGTGCCCATGCAATGACTAACGCATGCGCACGAGACAATTAATACGTGCCCACGAGATAATTAATTTTGAGCAGCCTTGTTGTGATCGTCAGGCAATATTAGTCATTTTTTAAATTTAGTCTTTAACTCAGGGTTCATGCTGGGTCTTAAAAAGTGTAAAGGGCTCGACACACGGGGAGCGACAAACTACAGCGATTAACGGCTGTCATCGCAGCCAGGGTGAAACTCGACACATGGGATGCGATAGCCATTGCAGCGTTGCGAATCACGCTCTTTCAGGTCGCTTGTTTTCACAAAATTTGATTGGTTCTTGACTCTGAAGGCGGGTGTGCATTACGGACGTGTAAACTAAACAAATCTTGCGATGCTAATGATATTGAAAAACAAACACACATCAAGATACAGTTTTATGAGGAAAAACTTACCATAAACTTCACCCTGGTGCCAATAAATTCCCACAAAGCTTTTTAGTAATCACTTGGTGAAAGTGTTAGCTAACTGCAGTGTGTAGCATACTGTCTGCTCATTGGTCAGTCAATGAAACCCTTGCTGATTGGTTGTACGCTAAGCGACAGTGACAAAAGTTGAACATTTTTCAACTTTCATATGTCGTGTCGCAAGCTCGCGTGTGCACGTCTACGTGTACGAGTGCGAAATTTCACATGCACTATTTTCGCTGGTCGCTTAGCTGGAGGAGGGCAAGCGATTGTCACCTCACCGCACAGGCTCCATAGGAAATGAATGGAGAGCGAGCGACGTCGCCTCCCGTGTGTCGAGCCCTTAAAACTGGAAAATCTAAATTTTAGGCCTAACAAAGTAAAAAACACCCAGATTTTCATTCAAGGTCCTAAATTTAACTTTGTCAAGTCTTAATCTTTTTTTACTTTCAATCATTCCCGAGAAGTGTTGGCTGCATAAATAAACAGAGTAAAGCTCTGTAATCAGAGGATGACTGGATCTGTCTTCATGAAGTGCTTAGTTTCCTCTCGGTCATGGTACATTGTTAAACTACAAAATCCTGTGACAACTGCAGGCAAAGAATGACACAGTTTACTTCCATGTTTTCAACCTCTTTGTTGTTAAAACCCCTTGCATTTGTTAAAATTTATTGGACCATTTGAATGTTTCTGTTAATGCATTGATTTGGTCTTAAATGTCATTCCTAATAGTCTTAAAAGATTTTTAAAAGGTCTTAAATTTAACTTATTGAAACCTGCATGAACCCTGTTAATTGTTTAAATATGCACACTTATTATTATTATTATTATTATTTGGTGTACGCCAATATAAATGGATCATTCATAGTAGGCTATTTATGAAATGACAATGTGTTGTCGGTCTGGAAACTGATTTTTTACTGTGTTCCTGAACGCAGCATAACTCCGACTCCTCCTGCAGCTGAAGTACAGATGGACAGGAGCCTGTTTTTATAGTTGAGCTTCAAAAAAGAAAATAAAGCTTTTTGGACAAATAGACAACTCCAGTTGTCACCTGGGACTTATAGCTGCAGCACATAAAGCTAAGAAACAGCTACTTCATGCCTAACGTAAGGTATTGACGTAGCAACGTCATTCATTCTATTAAAATCAAAATAAATTACCTGTAGTTTAATTCAGACTTGTCCATCAAACAACGAACAGTCTTCACAAAAATGACAACAATAATTAGCTGTGTGGTGGCCACAATATAATTATGTGCACGCGTGTTAATTATCTCGTGGCCACGTGAAATTATTTTTTATTCCATGTCACCAGATGGGCTCCATTCTCTTGGCTGGATGATTTTTTTAGTGTACAGTCAATAAGCATATGAAGAAATAAATATTTAGTCTGCTTGTTTTTAAACTTATTGATCAACTGCTTTGTAAGAAATCATGCAACCATCATCCTATAAATTCTCTGACATAAGTTAATGTGTGATGAACATGAAATAAAACATATTGAGTAGTTCGAGGACATGACTGGACTAAGGTTGAATCTTTTGCAGCTGATGGGTGTTCTGCCCATCCTTCCATTGCTCTTTCCTGTCATGTGGGTGCTGGTCAACGCTTTCGGAGAGGCCATGGTTCTTGCTGAGTTCAGCCGTGCATCACCAGCAGGCCTGGTGAGAGAAACACACACACACACACACACACACACACACACACACACACACACACACACGTTTGTATTTCTACCCTTATTACAACTGTTCATTGACTTACATTCATTTCCAGGATTTTACCTTACCCTAAAGCTAGCCTCACAGGTACCAACCTGACCCTAAAGCTAACCTCACAGGTACCAACCTGACCCTAAAGCTAATCTAAAGTCAATTCACACCTTAGTCCTAAACTGAACCCTCAACCCAAAAATGGAGTTCCAACATATTAGGACCGGTCTTTGGTCCCCATTTGGACTACTGGTCTTGACAAGGTAGGTGTGTATACCTGAAATGGTCCTAAAAAGGTAAAAACAAGTGTACACACACACACACACACACACACACACACACACACACACACAC